TCCCCCAAAACAAACATCCTCCAACATGGCCGCTCCGCGCCATAACAACTAGCTCGGATGTCCAACAAACACAGGCTGGCATGCCAGGACTGGAGCTTACACTTCTACCATCAAAACGCCGAGCGTCTGCTACCACGAGCACGTCGACTTTTCTCCAAGACATGTCAACAGGCTCCCGGTTTTCCATGCGGATTCGTTGGCGTTCTTCCTCCTTTTTCCCGGGATATCTCACCGCCACAACGACCGTCGCGGTAGCAGTACGGTGGGCAGACATGAACCCATCGGTAGACCAAGACCCCCAAAGGCCAATCACCCCTCCATTTCGCGCTCTCTTCTATCAAGCAACCAATCTCGGTGGTCCTGGCCTCAACAGGAAACTCGATCGACCTCTGCACCCACATCTGTGGCGCTAGAGTTGAAACCGCCAAAACGCCGCCATGTGAGCGAGTAAACCCCCGCTTGACCCCGCTACTTCCTCCCTCCTGGACATCCAACGAATGGTTGCCACAGCCTAAACCCGACTATTGAACAAGAGTGTCGACAAATGTACCTTCTTGACCTGACTACACATATCGTCTCATCGCGGTCCAACCAAGGCAAACTTTGCGACAAAAACGCCTTGCGAACGCCAACCAAGATGAATTCAATCAGCGGAAACAGAACATAGCCTACAAAATAGCCTAAATAGCACCAGGCACAGCAACAGAAGATAGAACTCACTAGGTGCAGCCAGGCGATATTCACTCAAGTGTTTGGTTCCCATGGACCAGGGGCCCCGCGAAGTCGACCATCATGACCCCCACCCTCCTTGCACCCCCAAGGGACCCATCCACCAAGCCACCACCAGTCAATCGCGAAATAACAATGGCAGCAGGCATGAGGAGATGAGAGCAAAGCTCAAGAATAAACCCACTTAACGAACATACACCACGGACAGACAGGCATCGGGACAACATACACCACAGACAGACAACCAAACGCGTTCCCTCCAAAACAAAAACAACAAACGGGACAGAAAAAAAAGAAGATAGGGGAGCCACCGCCAGAGACTGAAAGCATGAGACTCAACCCACTCCCCGATACATGAAGGCATACACGTACGCAGTAGGATACATGCCGGAAGCAATCCACCCGAGCCTCAACCCCCAAGAGTCGCCCCCCGTATCAAACGCAACCGCTGGGGTGCCCCCCCCCCCCCCCCCCCCCCCCCCCCCCCCCCCCCCCCCCCCCCCCC